ATTTATCAGCTAAATTGAATAAATGTGATAAATCAGATAAATTGGATAAATTCATTAAATTCATTAAATTCATTAAAATGCCATTTAAGTTCATGAAATATCTACTATTTAACTTAACACGTGGTATAAAGAACGTTTATCGAATTATTTTACAAATAACTCTGTCACTATAGTATTTAAAATAAGACATTAAATTTTATGAATATTCACTCACGATAGTGTAGTTTGCGAATATAACTAAAAATTTAAAATAAATTATTCAATGTCAAGAAACTTTTACAGTAAAATTTTTATAAATGCACCCTCTGAAGACAAAATCTATATATGCACTTAAAGATGGTATGCATTTAATAGCTAGATTTCTCTATATGCACTTTCTTAAGGGTTATAGTAGACAAAAGAAAGAGTGCATTTATAAAGAGCAATTATACAGTAAAATCTCCATAAGCGGCACCCCCTATAAGTGCACTCCCTCTCTCAAATTCTGTATACATGACCCCCTATAAATGCATTTTCTTATTGATCTCTTAATTGCACATTGTTAAAGCTCGGTCACACTTATAGAGATTTTACTGTGATAGCCCAAATTATGCTTAATTTAGGCGAAAGTTCGAAATTTCGCGCTTATAAGGTAACTAATAAAAAATAAAATAAAATCAATTGACTCCCTATTTCTAGAGCAACGTGCGGATCTAAGAGCTAGTCAATTTATGTATGTTTTACAAGCGTCATACAAGGAATTACTCACGTATTTTGGTGGTTACGAAAAATAAAACCCGGAAAAATAATGCATGATTGTACGATAATTAGCTATATAATATATATATTTATGGTACATGCATAAAAATTTTCTTGTGTACGAGGCTACACACATAGCCATTTTTGTTGTACTATAAAAAGGCTTATGATATATATAGTAAATTTGGGCGTTCAGAAACCAAAGCTGAAACTTCCCCAGCAAATTCCCTGATGAAGGGTCTCGTAGAATTATCATATAACAAACACAGAATAATTTTTATTTATTATTATCCATATATTATCTTTTAAGTAACATATGTATGACCCTTTTTTTCCGAAGATTATTGAAAAATTTTAGATACATAACCCATTCATCAAGTAAAATGCCCAGCCGATAATTTGACATTAACTAGTACTAGTATTTCTTAATGTTGGCCCAGCTCCTCGATGAAATCAGATCTAGAATTTTAGATTGCATGTGGTCTTGTGGGTCACATGATATTAAATCAGTCTATTGAACCGAGTTAACTTTGAGAAATAACGATAATTTTAGCAACACCTGTATCTGAATACGATATTGTACTACAGTATTGAATTACTAAAAACATGATTCATATATAATATGCATTACACTAATCTACCGCTACAGATATAAAATTTTTCATATATACGTACGTACTTGCGCACGTATATCATTTTGAAAAGATATATATAAACAAAAAATTTCATTGTTTTTATTGTTTACATTCTTAACCTTACAATGGATGAAAACCAATATTTAACCTCAGATTCTAACGATGAAAACAGCATGATAGTTATTGGAAATAATGGAATTCAGCAGTCACACCCACACTATAGAAATGATGATAAAAAAAGCATTTGTTGGAGATATTTTGAACCATTTAAAGTTCCGAAAGACGGAACAACAACCAAATGTACGATTGATGGATGCAATACAAGCTATGTATGGTGTGGATCAACTACTAATCTTCTTAGTCATCTTAAATCTAAACACGGTATAACAAAGTCCTCAGAACACACAACATATATCCAATCGCCATCATCAAACGTTAATTTTAAATTAGAGGTCAATTTACCATTAGTTAAATTTATTGTCTCTGCCGAAGCTTCTTTTAATATTTTTGAACATTTAAAATCTGCCGGGTTTGTTAACCCACAATATAAGCTGACTTCTTCAGATCTTGCTGAAGAACAAATAAATAGAGCTTATAATTGCCTATTCAATCAATTAAAATTAAAGGCACGACAAGCGAAAACCATTGCATTATCATTTTATTCAATAAGTTCGTGTCCATATGGTCACAAAGAATATCACAGCATATATATGGGAGTTACTTGTCACTTTTTATCCGAAAATTTTGAATTACATAAATTCTTATTGTGTATACCAAAACTATGTCAAAAATGTTGCAATCTAATATATAGGAATAGCCTCTTTGAAGCCTTAAATGAGTGGGAGCTAACTAACCAAAAATTTATTTGCATTAGTAGTTTTGATATAGATTTAGTCGAAGGAATCTTTAAAAATGTCTATCAGAGTTTTGTTCAAAATTTCATACCTTTAATATATGATGAAGACAAAGATGGGATTAAATATACTATAGATAATTTAATACAAATATGTTTGCAAGAATGGGCTGATAAAAATATTGGTGTTCAAGGGATGTCAGAAATTATTAAGATTATTGAAAATGCTATTAAAAATCTCAATGCAATAATAGATTTCTTAAAATCTAAAAAAATACAGAAAGAGATACTAATTATGCAAAACACTTTAAGTTTTCTTGTAATCAATGATATTAAAAGTGCGAATCAAATTAAATGCAATTGCAGTTATCACAAGATAGTATTTCTCAGATTAATGGAGTGTCCCTTTAAACAATTGATTCAAAATCATAACAATTACAACGATGCTTTTATTGGAGCGGGAATCAACCGGCTTAATGAGCTTTCATTAGATTCTTTACCATTTGGCATACTTTCAAAACTCTTACAACTATTTGATCCTCTTAAAAAATATAATGAAAATGACATTTGTCTAAATAAAATCACTCAAGAACAAGCTCTAGAATTGGCAAACAATATTATGATTAATGCTGATGATATGATGAAAGAAGTTTCTCAATTTAATGATATAGAGCATGAAACTTTTAAATCCTTTTTAAATTTAATTCCTATATATTTTCAAAAAACAGGAATACTTACTAAGGAGTTGATTTCATTTTTAGATCCACGAATTAAATTAAACCATTCATCATATGTAAGTTTTTTACAACTGTATTTTTAATGCTAAATTATTATAGTTAATTTTAATATAATTTTAAAATCACGGTAGACTATTAAAAAATATGTGCAAACAGAATGTCGAATGTATTATTCAAAGATACTAAGCCGTGCTGATGCGCAAGCTGAAGCTTGTCTTCGAACTGCTAATACCATGGTCCAAGACCAACTGAACTTTTTAGTTCAAAATGCTCCGATTCTCCCAATTGCTGACATAATTCAATCCGAAGTCGAAACTTTCGCAAATGCACTAGCATATGAGGAAGTGGAAAATTATATAGATTATCCAGATTTACTGTTGAACAAAAATGCTAATATACTTGAATGGTGGCAAAATTTGAAAGGGACGTTTCCTGGACTGTCTGCTGTCGCAAGAGAATATCTGTCTATGCCACTAGAACAGGAAATGGATCAGTTAGAAAATATTGAAAAGCTCGAAAATATCTATCAAGATTTTGATACAGCAAGTAAAATAAGCTTTTTACAAAACAATATGAAATATTTTGATTCGTCACTAATTACGTAGATTCGTAGAAAGATTTTTTTATCAAACTCAAATATATCATAGTAAAGAAAAAAAATTACCGTATAAACATGAAACAGTAAATTGGTTCAAACTTATATAGCATGGTATTAAGAGTTTGTTATTTATACCAGGAACGGAGTGATGCAAATCACGTAGTGTATGGTTATACGCATATGGGCGGATTTTGCGATTTTGGTGATATTATCGAATAAGACCTTCAAAATTTGTACCAATCAGATTAGTAAATTATAGTTATTGTATGGGTATGTGTGAATAACCCAGTTACACACGGGTTCATATTCCGTGCCGAAGGCACGG